TTTAGATAAATATTTCCCAACAAAGCCTGGCTTCAAGCCTTATTGTTTTATTATGAAATCTTATTTTCAGTGCCAGAAACAGGAAAATAGCTATTTCTTTTTGTTTTGGTTCTAACAATTTAAACACCTCCCCCTACACCAACACAGAGGCTATATACCACATAACAATCGGATAATATTCTAGGTGCTAGGGATGTGGTATTAAAGGAAACACTAAATTCCTACTTCTGAAGAGCTATCCTTCCAAAGAGCCTCCCTCCTCTAGGGAGGGCAATAGGTGCTAAAACAAATGAATAATAGATAAACATGCGAGGAGGTGCTATGTGGTATAGAGGAGAATATAGCAAGGAAGGATGCCAATAAATGATAGAAATGAGATTATGGGCTCAGCTTTAAAAGAGGCATTTGAACAAGGCCTGACAAACAAACAAGTATGCAAGCCATGGCCAAGGTTATGCTAAAGAAAGCCATACAAAGATTTATAAATGGAAAACCATGTCAGCATTTTCCAAAATATTCTTCATATTTTTAAAAAATTTCTCATCCTTGGTTTTAAGCAGATATATGCACTTTGAATATTAGTAACAGATCATACTTTTTAAAATGCCACAAATATCAAGTCATATCTATGTGCAAGATTCTTTGGGTTTTCCTCATTACCTGTAAGACAAAGTCATTCATTTAATGTATGTACAGTAAGAGGTGGGGGTGAAAAAATAGATGTTCTGGCTTTTAAGGAATTCATGACTGGGGAGAACAGACATAACCATAAAAGTGTGTAGTACGAAGTATGTCAAAAATGCACATAGAGTCTTCTGGAGTTGCAGCTGAGATGTTTATATGCCCCAGGAGGCAGTGGGATGTCAGAAGAGGTCATACGATGAGACTTAAGGTGAGCAGAAGGTACCAGATGAGACAATCTGATAAAGAATGGCATGCAGGTGTGATACACAGGTGAACTAAATGTAGCTTATAGTTGCTAGAAGGAAAGTTAGAGGTCAGCAATACTGAGAAGCAAGGCTGGACATGTGCACAGAGCAAGGAAAGCTATTTTAAGCTCAACTTGTGCACATCTTTCTTATCAGGCATAGGTCCAGCATCCCAGTGAACTTCAGCCTTCACACCCCTTGAGCTGAGCTGGGTGTCACAGGTGTCCTCCCTCTGCTTCCTATTCATACAAATTGAGTTCAACTCTTAGTCCTGATTACAGCCTGCCACAGCCTGGGAGCACTCCTTCATTACAGCTGTCCAGCATGCTCTGACAAAAACTTGCCATATACCCTTGGGTTGTGCTCTCATTAGCACAACCACTGCTGCTCTTGTCATTTCGAGGTTTCAAGTACATCTAGTTTTCGTTGAAGGGTTATACCCCTGAGAGCAAAAAGTACCTTGTGTTTCTCCCATAGCATCCAATATGAGGCTCTGCTTTAGTCGGGGCCTAATTTGGACTAGTCAAAAAATTCATTGTATTACTTTAAACCTGCATTGTCCAGTATGGTAACTACTAGCCATATGAAGAAATTTAAATTTAAACAAATTAAAAAGAAGTAAGATGAAATTTCGCTTTCTCAGTCTCATTTGCCACATTTCGAATGCTCAGTAACCCACGTGAATCTAGTAGCTACTCTATTTTGAAGAAAATATTTCCATCATCATAAAAGTTCTATTGGCCATCATTGCTTTAGAATACTTTGTAGAGGGAATTTCCAGAAGATAACTGCTTCAGGCTGCTTGGGTATTTCTTACCTATAAATTGTCAAAAGAGTGCCATTCAATTCTGTGGCATATGATATTAAAGTTGTTGATGAAACCTTATAGTTTGACTCCAGATAATTTATGTTTACAAGCTTGGCAATACACAAGTAGATAGTTCCTGAAGAAATAAAAAAATATGATTTTTATTGAGGTCTATCCTGTGCCAAATATTATGCTAATATGTTATGTATATTTTTATGTTATAGAGATTTGATGCCATATATATTTTAATTTAATGCTTAGAACAACCCTTTGAAATATATTTTTATGGAAAAGAGGGAACATAGGTCATTGTGGTGATGCACTTTGGCTGGGCTGGGAAACATGGCTAGGAAGTCTTAGAGCCGCTGGTGCAACCAAGACTGCTGACCCCCAAGCCTGTCCAGAGAATACATCAGATACATATTTATTCTATTCATTTATTTCTACTACTTTGAGTTATCCTATTTGTGAACATAATTTATCCATTCTTCTATAGACAGACATTTATGTTTTTCTTAGCTTTTGTCTATTAGACGAAACACTGCAAAGCATGACTGCACATATCTATATCTACATCCATATTTCCTCAGGCACACTGTAAGCATTTCTCTATGATACATACATGTCTAAGAAGGAACAGTTGATGTATCACAGAAGGAAATTGTGGAGTGTTTGGTTGTACGCATCTCCATGTCACTGTATATCAATAAATTGTTCTCAAAATGGGGATGTCAATTTATATTCTGCTGAAAATTTTTTACTTTGATGCTTGGAATTTTTTGCTTTCACACATTTTTGAAGCACTTGGAATTTTCCAACTTTAGTTTTTACCATTCTAATGAGTATGATTTTTTTATGTTGTCAGTGAAATTGAATATATATTCTTATATTTAAGGTTCTTCTATATTACTTTCATGAGCTACCTATCCTAGTCATTGCCTAAATTTCAACTGGGCCATGGAGTTGTTTTTTGCTGATTTGTGCAAATTATTTATATGTTCTGATTAGTCCTTTGTCTTTTATGTGGACTGCAAATGACTTTCCAGTTTGCCATTTCTTTACCTTTTAATCTGGCTCTTAGATGTTTTTAATTTCAATATATATTTATAATTTCCCTTTTCAGAGTTTGCAAGTTTAGTGTCTACGATTTTTTTTTTTATTTCTCAGCATCATGTACTCATGATAATCTCAAATTTTCTTCTGAAAGTTTTAAAGCTTTGATTGTTACATTAAAAACTATGGTCAATTTGAGTTTTCTTTTATTCATAATATCATATATAGGTATCTACTTTTTTTCAGGCAGATCACCAATCTGATTATTTGAATTTGGAACATCCACTGTCCTCTTTTTATAGAACACAATTGTGTTGCATGCAACTCTCTGCTCAGGGCAACAAATGTGTGTACCTGGGCACAATTTCAATTCTCTGCCATGGTGTTTTCAATTTATCCCATTGTTTAAAATCTTGAATATTTTGACAGCTAATAACGTACTTATTTGCCCACTTTATTGCTCTTCAAAATTGGCTTGGCTAGTCTTGGCCCTTTCTTTTTCCTTCTTAGTTTTTAGAACAGCCTGACAAGTTTTGATCTATGCTCTATCCAGTTTGCCAAACAACTTCTGTTTGAAGTCTGCAAAATGAAAGCTCTAGACTTTAATCCTTAGCACATCATGTGGTAGACAAAGCTGTGTTCACAGGGACCTGGTGGGAATGCCTCCCACCACCTCACATCACACAAATTAGCAAAGATAGAACCTATGGAGTCTTCTACAGTTTGCATCTGACATGTCCCCCAAAGCCTTTTGTGTTAAGGGCTTGGTCTCCTGTTTGGTGAGGGGGTCCCCTGGGAAGTTTCAAGTCACTGGGGGCATGTCATCAAACAGGATTACAGGACATCAGTTTCTCTTTTTTGTTTCCTGGCCATGAAGAAAATCATTTACTCATGAGGCACTCTCCACTATTGCCATGGGCCACCCTAACCAGAGCCTAAAAGTAATATGTCCACTTTATTATGGATTGAAATCTCTAAAACTGTGACCCCAAATAAGCCTTTTCACTTAAAAAAAGTTGATTATGTAAGGTATTTGTTATATTAGCCGAAAGCTGACTAACCACCATCCAAGCATAGTGATGACAGACTTCAGATAATCATCTTACACTGTGTCCAAAAGGTAACAGCCTGTCCTGAGATGGAAGATGAGATCAAATTCGAAGGTTGTGGTTGATCCTGATGAGGCTTAGGAAAGTTGGCCAGTAGTGGAGAAACACACTGAGGGGAGGGCTGGTCACTGGCTACACAGGACAGAAACTATGGACAGTGTTCATCCTTGCATAGGACACACATGTATAAATACCGAACAGTTTCTCTGGTGTGATGTAAATGAGAATCAAAGTGTATAATAAATAATATGAAATAGGAAGAAAAGGTCCAAAGGGGAAGGGGAACTGGGAGGGGTAGGGGGAAGAAAAGAAGGGAAAAGAATAAAAATATGAGAAAAGGAAAAAAGGAAACCATCATTTGTAACAGGGAGGGATGGAGGGGTTGATGGTAGGGCAGGGGAATGGAGAAAAAAATAAGAAGGTAGATATATCATGTAAAGATACAAATTTCCAATGATGAATTCCATCATATTTTATACCTAAAATGTACCAATAAACTTAATGAATAAAAAATAAAGATGCCAGACTCATCACACAGGAGATGATGAGCAAAAGTGTCAAGTGGATAAGTGAGTGGAGTACTGGGGTGGCCAGGGCTTATGAAAATTGCCTGGCTTCCCTAGACGCATGTTAGTCATCTAACAAAAACATCTAAAGCAAATAAGGCCATCATAAGTGGTGCTCCAGTCCCCGGCCCCTTCCCAGAAAGTCATCTCTGATCTTCAGAAGATCCTGTAACAACTGCAGTGGTATGAGGAGCAGGACTTGGCAGCCTTTCCCCGAGCACTATTAACGAGTTGAATCTCTTTGAGTGAGGGGCTCTGGCCACTCTAAACCTCTTTAACAGGAGGATGATGCTGATTTCTATTTCACAAGTTAAACAACACCAACCAGAGTGCCTAGCAAACTGTAAGTGCTCAAGAAATATTGTAGGATACCCCTAAAAACAACCACAGACTGTTAAAAGTGACTCTCATCCCAAGGGCCACAAATGTTCCTGTCCGTTTTGTTTGCGGAATGCCTTTCATCCTGGTGTCTAGACCTCTTCTCTTTTGGGGGAAGATGGCTAATAGCAGCTCATCAGTGCACTGGGTTCCATACCTATGAGGTTGCAAGCCTTGTGCCTGTGATCCTTCATTTTCTATGTCTTCCCTTGACCTTAAAACCCAGTTACTCTTTACTTCCGGTGTAGGAAAATAGCTCAACTTCTTTTTGCTTCCATTTTCTTATCTGTAAATGGGGCAAATCATAGGCTTATCAGCATAAGTAAATACATTATCAAGTAAAATTGCTTAGGAGAGTATTCAGCACATATAGATCCTCTATAACCCTCAGAAAAATAAAAATAAATAATGTTCTATACCAGACACTGTACTCTTGAAAAGTATCCTCCCTCATGCTAGACTGTCAAATATAGATTGTGTCATTTGTTAGACGTTTGATGTTGAGAAATTTATTTAAAAGTTACTTTCTGTTTCTCCACCATAGGCCCTCCGCTGCTAACAAGGAAAAGGAATGATGTCCATTTTGAGGATGCGTGGAAACCATGTGTGTAAACTGCCTGGTATATTGGAGTTGCTGCACAACCCTGAATGTTGCTTACCACTACACTAGTTTAGGATCACTTGCTCAAGGATTTACTAAATTTGAGGTCATATTTGTGTCAAGAAAGAGGGTGATGGCCAGTGTAATGGGAATTCTACACTTCAGTCCTTAGCCACAGGAGCAGCCCTAGATCCAGTGCATGTTATCCCAGGTTTTTGTTCCAGGAAAAGTTAATTGTACATTAGCCTCTGATGACATGTTTTAGCTAGGATATGAGTTTGAGTACACTAGAGGAAAAATCTGGTTTTCAGGGCCTTTGGAGAACTTATATCCAACAAAATTTAGTAAATTTCATACCACTAAAATTACCAAAGATGTGGTCCATCACACCCAAATTGAATGTGATGAGGTGGCATCATGGTCACAGGCTTTCCATGATTTGCAGGGTGTTCTGGATTAGTCCCAGGGGCTGCTCCACTTCCTGACATAGCTGCACCACTTTCTCTCACTCGACTTTGGCAGGAGAAGAGAAAGTCACCATATAGATGCGGAAGCATTTCGTGCTTCCTCCTTTCTCTTCTTTTCTCAACTTCCTTCTGAGATGTGACCCAAGCATTGTGGGACTGAAAATGTGGATGTGCTAGCTACAAAACAAGAAATACAAATTGGGAGAAAAGATTTGGAAAAGAAAAAGCAAGGCAGAGGGCATGGGTTGAAATTAATTTTCAAGAAGTTAGATGTAATTACAAAGTAAAACTCTAATATCACAGCTGTGGTTGTCCACCCAAATATAATCTTCACAGTTCATGAATTTGACTTCCTATTCATTAATGGCTCTCCCCTAGTTTGTGGATGTGTACTAATCATAAATGAATTCTTAAAGCTTCAAAACAAAGGAATTATAATACAAAGGTCACTGTTTATTTTTAAGTGGCTTTTCATAATCTAATACCAGAGATTCATGACAAGATAATTGATTCCTTCAGGAATTGTTTGGGGGATGAAAGGACTAATTTCCACAAAACTCCACTTTGGCATTGTCACATTAAAGACAGTGAAGTAAAGGGAAGCCACAGGTGTAGTCCTCCATCCAATGCATATAATCATAGAGTTTTAGTTCCAGGAAATTATCGGTAGCTTAGCCTCTGATAGTTTGTATTAGGTAGAATACTAAATTGGATACTCTAAGAACAAGAACTTAAGTTGCATAAAAATTAATGTATTTTTATCCTTAAAATTTAGGCTGATATGGAAGCTCTGTTATAGCACAGACATCCAGGCACTTGTATAACATTCCATAGTATTATATTATTGATCAGCAGTTGTGTGGATCCTAGCTATTGTATGGAGGAAAGGGCAAGGTGATGATGCACACCTTACTTTTCAGGCATATGGTAAAATTCTCATACCTGTTTTCTATTTAAATACCATCAGTCAAAACATGGTCACATGACACACTTTCTGCAAAGGAGGATGGGTAACTGTTTTATTGGGCAGCCATATTTGTGTCTACAAATTCAAAAGTGAAAGAGATAAAAGGAAATACCAGTGGTACCTAAGGTAGATTTTGTGTTCACAGAACCTGTGTACTTTGACTTCCATATACCATTGGGTCTAGAGTGTCTAGAAGGAGTTTTTGTGGGAAACAAGCCCTCAAAATCTTATTCCATCTTAGAATAACTATCTACTCTTTGGTTGCCACAAATGTATGCCTCACTAATAGGGCTTTCAGATACTTCCCATATTTTACACCTCTTTATTCTACTGTTCATCTCTTTTGTCTAAGAGATGACATGACAATTATAAGAAAAAGTTATACTTATCAAACAATGATTAAAATGAAGTGTTAGAAATGTGGGAGATAAAGGTTATATTTTCTCCACAAATGCCTCCTCTTACCAGGGATTGATCATGGTATAAAATGAAGCAGTGATTTTCTACATGTTGATATCTAAGGTGGACCAAAACTTGCTCACAAATTTCATGTGACAGAATATTAGTACACATTAGTTCTCAGTTTTGTTAGAAATTTGACCCAAACGTCTGCTTTTCTCCTCTCTTTTGTCCTCCTTCGTTATCATCATTACAAAGGGAAGTATTGAACTGTTTGGACTTCATGAGGTAATAAATGAATAATAATTAGGAGCAAGCCATGGTGCTTTAAGTTCCAAATCAGCCTTGAAATCACGATCCTTGTCTAGCCTTTGTTTAGCTTATCTGTTGAAACATGTACTTTTCTTTTCCAAATCATTAGCAGGTATGAGCAGAGGGGAATCTTCAGTGACTTGATTAACTAATGTATGCCCCTTCTTCACCAAGGTCATTTGTGAAAGGGGTGAGATCAAAGAAAGAAGATGAACTCAATTTTCTTTTTCTAAGCACTGACACATGGAAAAAGTAGTGGGGCTTTCTAGGCATAGATACGAAGATTGTAGACAATCTTCTCCAGATGCAAGGGCATACATAAATGTATAACATAATCCTTTTACTTCTTCATCTGAGAAATGTCCATTCATTTCAGATGCTCCTTTTTGGATCATGTCTTTAACTTTGGGGGATCCAATTTTTTAAAGTTCTTTATATATTCTAGATAGTAAACCGTTGTCTGAGGAACAGCTGATAAAAATATTTTCCCATATTGTGCGTGTCTCTTCACTCTTATCAGTTTTTTTGATGTGCAGAGGCTTTTTAATAAGATGAGATTCCAGTTGTTGATTCTTTGTGCTAGTTTCCATGTGAGGTTTTTTTCATAAAGTCTTATGCCAATGTCTTCAAGTGTTCTACCTAACCTCTCTTCCAGCTGGTTTAGTGTTTCTGTTTTAATGTGTTGATCTTTGAACCATTTTGATTTTAGATTAGTGCATGGTGAAAGATATGAGTCTAGTATTAATCTTTAGGAAGTTGAACCCTAGTTTTTCCAACACCATTTATTGAAGAGGCTATCTTTTCTCCAGTGAGGGTGTTTGGCTCCTTTGTCAAAGATGAGGTAGCTGAGTATGTTTGGAGTTGCTTCTGAATCTTCTAATATGCTAAATGAATGGACCTTGAGATCATTCTCTAAAGTGAAATAAACAGGACACACATGTGTAAATACCTAAATGTTTCCCTGGTGTGAGAAACTGAAAGTGTAAATGAGGATCAAAATGTATAATAGATATTGTCAAATAGGAAGAAAAGGTTCAAAGGGGAAGGGAAACTAGGGAGGGAGGGTGGAGGAAAGGAAAGAAGTGAAAGAAAAAAATGAGAAAGGAAGGAAAAATTGGAAGCAGAGCTTTTGTAAATAGGGAGGGGTGGAGGGGTAGAAGAGAGGGAAGGGGAAGGGATGAAAATAAGAACCAAGATATATCATGTACAGGTTCAAATTCCCAATGATGAATGCGAACATAACGTATACCTAAAATGTACCAATAAGCTCAATGAAAAAAATGTATAACACAATAAAGGTGCATCTGACACATCAGGTTATTATGGTGATTACAAAAACTCAGTTATATATTAAAATATGTTCTAATTTTTAATTTAGAAAACAGATTAAAATTAGGAAAATGTAATGGCATTTTTCATATAATATAATCCACAGACATGATTTGGAAAATGTAAGACATTAGGAAATCATGCGCAAAATATCTTGATTATTACTGTATACCTACTGATTATCTCCCAAGTTGGAAATATTTAGTCTATCTGGTTTTACTTGCCACAGGTAGAAAACTGTTACCCTGAATTAATTTTGAAATCAAAGGCTTTTATTCCTTTTTATCCTTTTAATTGGGAAGTGCAGTTCGTTTTACAGATTTACCTTCAGCTATGTGAAAAGAAATACAGCAAAATAGGAAGGGCAGAAAGTGAGTAGTATGGAAGCATGGGATGACTTTGTTTTGTTATCGTGTTTCTTCAGGAATGTGCTGTGATCCCTCTTGATTGTCAGGGTCCAGTTTTCTTATGTAAGATTGGAACGTCAGGAGACTCACTGGAATAAATTAACGAGGTTAACTCTCCTTTCTCTACAGTACTACGTTTAGGTACAGACCAGAAAGAACTTGAGGTATATTCAAGTAATAACATTTTGTTTTAAATATGAAAAAGAAAAAAAAATCACGGAAGAACCAAATGCACAAGTTTTACATACAAAAAGGAAGTGGAATACTGTGATATAAACAAGCTCCAAAGCTGGCTTTCCCCCTGAAGATCTCTCCTTTTATATTTCAACTTGTCATGTTGCATAGAGTGCAAGAATATAAAAAAGTAAAGTGTAAGTCCACTAAGTGGGGGGAATTTAATAAGCTGTCTCTAGTAAGGCTTGACTTTGAATGAGGAATCAACTCTGTCCTCATTCAGACAGACACAGTACAGACATTTGCCCTTCTCAACTGTGACTCTAACTTGAGGAAAATAATATCACCAAGCAGTTAAACCAAAATGCATGCTTTTTTTTTTTTTTGGTAAAAATTCATGTCACCTTGTCTGATATAAAAAAATCAGCTAATTTAATCTAAAATAGTCTTTGTTTGTCTCCCCACTTCTTTTTCCTTTTTTCCCCTCCAATAAAGCAAGTTACAGAAGCAAACCCACATTCCCTCTGGAGGAATTCAGTTTCACTCTGCACCTTAAGACAGTCCCGCTGACAAATTTACGTGGAGAAGTGCTTCTCACATTCAGCTACACAAGCAAACACACACATACACGCACATGAACACAATCTCTATCAGGGAAAATAAGCGAAAGTAACAGAGTCTGCAAGAAGACTTCAGCATTGGAAGCTTCTCAATTTTGTAAAGATGGTCTACTATCTAGAATATATAAAGAACTTATTAGAATAACAGGCTTGTGTGTGTGTGTGTGTGTGTGTGTGTGTGGTCTAAATAAAACTTAGTTTGAAATCATAAGTAGGAAATATTCTATCATAAAGTAGATAATTAAGTTTAAATAAGAGTATAGTAGAACTTTTTGAAATTAGAAATCCTAATGGATTAAACAACTTACACATAGAATTAATGAGCTAAAAGATAGATCCAAATTAGCTTTTTCAAGATGTGGTCTAGACAGATAAAAAAATGAAAGAAATATGAAGATGATGAGAAATATGATAAAATGAGAAAGTTTAATATTAACTAATAGATTATTCCAATAGATTGGACCAGAGGAAATATTTTAATATATAATGGGTTGACAGTTTTCCAGATATGTTAAGGCACCAATTAAGATATAGGAAGCCCATAGTATATGCTATAAAAGTAAAACTGGAAGTCCACAGCCACACATCTGAAACTAAGCAATCTATAGGTACAGAGTTCTTAAAATAGGTGAAGTGAAAGATGAAACCACAAAAATGAAGAGGTTCGGTGAAACGCTAACCTCTCTAGGACATTAATGGTAGCAGACAAGACTATAGAGTTAAATACTTCTCAGCAGCCTAGAATTCTGTACCCAAAGAAATCATCTTTCCAAAAATGGGATGAAATAGGGATGGGTTAAATAAATACAGTCTGACAGAGTTTCCAGCCCAGACGCCATTTTCAAGGTATATTGTGGAGAAAAAACTTCAACTAGGAAGAAATGATCTACATAGAAAGTCCAAAAATGTAAGAAGGAATGGTGGGCAGAAATATTGGTAAGTAGCTGTGTACAACTAAACAATTGTGGCTGTTAAAAGCAGTAAACGTTAGCATTTTGTTTCGTTGGATAAAAATATCTTAGAAATAAATTACTGTTATACAACAGCATGTAAGTAAAAGACAACTAAATGCTTTCTAATTTCAGGAAGGCGGTAAATAAAATGGACATCTTCTGACTTTAGTGAGTCCTACTGTGTTAAAATAGCTTTTTTTTCTCATTGAGTTTATTGGTACATTTTAGGTATACAGTACAGTTACATTCATTATTAGGATCTTGTACCTTTACATGACAGGTCTTTGATAATTCTAGAGTTTAGGTACAGAACATAAAATTCCCAAAAAATCGAAATGGGAAGTGAGAAATGGAATTAGAACATGAGAACAATGAAATAGACAAAATTCCTCAATTGTTTTTGAGGGGAAGCAATGAAGAATGTGGGAAAGTGGGATAAAGAGATAGCAGCACCAACATGACAACATAAATTCAAATGTGTTAGTAACAGCTGAATAATGGCTATGTTTACATATTGGAATACAGAAGTTAAAGTTAACAAACTGATTCCCCAAAGCCATTCTTTCCTTCTTCCAGGGTACATACTGCATACTGTCTAGGTAGTGAATGTATTTCTCAGCCACCAATAAAGGTAGGTCTGTTTCTTTCTTGCATCTTTTAAATTGGGGTTTGTTGTTGTTTTGTTTTGTTTTTTTGTTTGTTTGTTTTTTTTTGGAAACAAGTTCTGCTAAGCAGTTCAGGCTGGCCTTGAACTCACTATGTAGCTCAGACTGGCCTTGAACTTAGGAAAGTCCTCCTGCCTCAGCTTTCCAAGTGCTGGGATTATTGGCATGTGCCACTATACCTGGCTAGATAGATCATTTCTATAGGTTTCGGCCAAAGAAGTATGAATAATATGATATTACTTTGATATCATTTAAAAAATAAAATCTCCAGATGTCTTGGTCTAGAATTCTTTACCTTGTCTGTCTTGGGCTGAAATTTGAACAAGCCCAGACCCAGCTTGGACCATAAAGAAGTGGTCACACTGCCAGGGACCACACAGCTACTGAGTAGATGGCCCTGGTCTGTGTAACGAGGTAGTTGAGACAGCCTCAAACTGAATGCCATCCACAGAACTGTTACTTGAAAGAGGAGTTACCCTGTCTTATTAAGCTACTGCAATTTTCAGTTAGCCCTTGTTCTACTAAATGCTACATATGCTAATATCAATAAAACTCTCCAATGTTCAAATAGTATCATTACAGAATATAATATAAAATTTGTTCCATTTTTATATGTATATATTATATATGCTACATATGCTAATATCAATAAAACTCTCCAATGTTCAAATAGTATCATTACAGAATATAAAATTTGTTCCATTTTTATATGTATATATTATATATGTGTGTGTGTGTGTGAGAGAGAGAGAGAGAGAGAGAGAGAGAGAGAGAGAGAGAGAATGTGTGTGTGTGTGTGTGTTTGCCTAGAAGAGAAGGAAAGGGAAACTGATAAAATGGGGACTTCTGCATTTTAAATGATGCAGTGTTTTCACTGAAACTCCGGTGTTTGAAATTTGTTTCACTAGAGTTCTATTTGTATGACTGTGACCAACTCACCCTAAAAACACTCAGTCCCTATAATTGCAGGCACTTATTCCCTGACTGCCTAATCTCACAGAGTGTGAGCAGGGTCCCACGAGGCAGGCAAGGCCATGAAACTACCAAATCACCAGAAGTGTGCTGAGGCTTTGTCACTCAGAGGAGACTTCTAACGTGTCTCTTTTCTATTGATACAGGGCTGGTATCTGAGATGTGCTCATGAAAGCTGACTAGACTCATGGATAGTATATCAACAATGTTTTCTCTCCCTCCTTAGTATTTCCACCTCCTTTCTCTTTCATCTTCTACTTCTTCCTCTTTTTCTTTGCCTTTGATTTCTCTTTCTCTCATTCCTTTTAATGTCATCATCATGATTATCAACAATGGCAAACAACCTTTTTCTCTCCAGCCTTCTTTCTTTTCCTTTTTTCTTTTCTTTTGTGATCCTTCACTCCACCACTTGATATGAATTAAAAGGGCTTGGCTGTTCTTTCCCACTCCTTCTTCCCACCAAATGCCAATTACACAGGTAATAACTTGACCAGAGTGGCCTGGATCCCTAGGTTTGGTAATCACCAAAGAGTTGGCATCTCCAAGGAAAGCCAATTAGTGACTTGTTGGATATCTGAGATTTGATATACAGTGGCTCTTCCTTCACTATAAAAGATACAGGACCTCTTCTTTCAATGTAAAAAATACATGCAGAAGTTACTTGTGGCTTTTAAACCATAAGCACTTGGAATAATGGTTCAGAAAAGACAAAAATGGAAGAAGAAATAGAAATTAAAGAGGCTATGGTGGGAGTTAGGAGGGCACAGAGTAAGAGAGAAAGAGAGAGGAGAGGAAATTAGAGAGGCATTAAATAAGAATTTCTTTTTTGTGTGTGTGTGTATTGGGGATCGAACTCAGGACTTTGCTCTTGCCAGGCAGTAGTGGTGCAACTGAGCTACATACCCAGCCCAAACAATGATTTTTGATGCTGAATTCAAAACTTAATTGATATATGTACACGAAAAAATATACATTTAAAAAAATTGAACCAGTTCAATTTGTGTTTCTGCTCTTTCTACTCCAATTATTTATTGAATCAAAATTTGAGTGAATTGACTTACTGAGTGTGAGGTAGAAGTACAGTGCTTCCACTTACATTTACAACTAAAAAAAATGATGACATGTAACATAAAAACATATTTTTTTCCCTGAGCACTCTTAGCAGAAATGGACAAGATCAACTAAATGTTTGTAGCTGGTCTGATTAAGTCCTATTCAGTGGAAAAGCGAATTTGAGATAAATATTAAAATCTTCTAAACATGAAAGTTTTTATTGCACTATTTGTGTGGTAAACAATAGTGTTGACATTGATTTATATGAAATATAAAATATTGCATGTTTTATAAGCAGTAATATAAGATAAAAACTAGTGCTATGAGTAGCATGAGTCACCGGAACCCCACATTTGAAGGAAATAAAGAGAATTAACAAAATCTGTTATTTCTCATTTGCTTTTTGCTTCATATTTAATCAGAACAAAGTGAATATGGTAAATATTCCACATATGTAAATACGGCTATCATATCTCCATTAATCATGTAGTACAACATTTGATATTCTCAATTAAAGCCTTTAATTTGCCTGCTATAGTGCCTGGAGTCCCAAGAGTAATTCTCTCTTATTTTCCTAGATAACTTATTTTGGGAAAAATAAAATAATGAAATGATCTTAAAATGAAAAGGCCTGAAAATAGCGCTCTTATTTAAATTACAATACTTCACACTCATGTGAGATTTCTTCCTCTTTGCAATCACGCAGCTGTTTTCCTCAGGGTGTTCTCACAAGTTCCTAAAGAAAAAAATTGTTATGAGCCTTCTGAAACCCTAAGGAAAGCAGCTGTGTTTTTGATAAACTGAGCTAAGGTTTCAACACTTCAAGCTATAGAAAAATTTACACGGGAATTTTCTGCATTGTATATCCATGAGCAACATATTTTTAACAGTAACAACTTACACTGTATTTAGTCAGAGTTTACACAGCAGAGCAGCCCAGCTGAATACTGTGAAATTGAAATCCTGACCTTCAACAGAAGACTGTGCCCTAAACATACAGAGTATCTTTCCCAACCTGTACAAAAACATGGGGGAAATCAGTGAAGAGTGAGAAGATGAACTGGCTGACTTGGCCACCACACATGCAAACGTCCTGTCATATATTACTGGTGTTAACCAATGATTTCAGTAAAGAAGTTTACCAGATCTTGAATGATTGAAGGGCTGGGATGCCTCCCATCTGCGATTCTCCTTGTGTATGATCTTCAAGCTCCCTCACCTTTGCGGTCAAAGCCTTGTCCTTCTGATCTCAGACAAGGAAACGTGTTAGCAGATTGAAGATAGTTTAAAGTTCCTTTAAAAAAAAAAACTATCTAAGAAATGACCTGGCTTGTGTCCACTAAATCTCAAGAAAACATGCATAGAAATCCTCACCAGTGTATTCCATGGCTTCCCTGCATGAACCCTTGTTACTTGGAGTCACTTTGGCACCCTCTCAGACCTTTCCTCCAGGTGGAGGTGTCGGCCTTTGTTAGATTTCCTATCTGTCAAGCAGAATCTCATTTATTCAGGGCTTGCTTCTTCATCCTGTGCACCATTTATCCTGCTGACTTTTCCTTCGGTTTCTGCCCTTTGTATTGTATGGCCAATGGAACAAAGAGTCAAACTTCAACGTATTCTGTAAACAACATGTCTGTTAAGAGCTCCGTGGTTTATATCACTTTTTTTTTAAGGGAAAGGGCAACACTGCACTATAAATATCCCCCATCTAATTAATGTAACACCTGCAGTGTATGAGTTTCTGCTCTAACTCAGCTGTATGTATTTTATGGTAAAGAGGACATAAATGCAGACAAGAAAACAGGTGAATGGGATGTGGCCTGATACACACAATTAGAGAATTAGCCAATCCATGCAGTGATTGAAATGAGGTGTCAAATTGGCAGTTTAATCATTCTTGATCATTGGTTATCACATGAACAGACAGAATGCATGCTACTAGTTTGAAATAGGTTTCAGAAAGGAATTAGTGGCCTTGTGTGGCTCTTCTCATAGATGACTCTCCTCTCCTTGGAGAGGTAAAATAATATTCCCAGGCTCATAGAACTAGTTAATGGCAGAGGCAGAATTGGTAGCTGTATTTCTAAAACCCATCTTATATCCCAGTACCAAGAGATAGTCTTCCTTTCTACTTTGTAACACTCATTTCATATCTGTTATATGGTCCTGATGTCAGTGAAGCAAGTTCATGTTTATTGTACATGAAGAATAGTGGTTGTTTCTAGATAGAGATGAAAATAAGTTGTGTTAAGCCAATTTGATTATCTTAAGGATGTTAATCCCTTTTCTACTTTCTTCTCTCTCACTATAGCTGGAACAGTGCATAGTGTCACATACATCAAAACAATTCCTGTGTCTTATGAGGTCACCAAGAAAACCCTATAATTGCCCCTGCTGATGCCAGGAATGCCAGGAAAGCCTACTGTCCTAAGTACAGGACACAACTCTTGCAAATCAGCCAGATGTGGCAGAAGCCATACATAACACTAAATCTCCCCAGAAAAAGTATGTTTAGTTCTTAATTCCCAGCACCTAGAATGTAATTTTCTTTGGAGATATGCTGTTTAGAGAGGTCATCAAATCATGAGGTGTGATGAAACTATAGAGAGTATGATGAAATCTTAATAATTTATTACAGTAAAAGACAAGTTGCCATTAATCACCCTTAAGATGCCTCCCCTCCCACGTCAAACACATTCATCCTATTGTTCTTGCCACCTTTTGAAGCAGTTTTAGGAATTCTCCTTCATAAATGTCTTCACAAGATTTGACTGACACTAACTCTGCTGAAAGAGAGAATAGGTGGAAAACTTGAAGACATGGGTATAGGCAAAGACTTTATGAACAAATCCCAGACCACACTAGAAATATTACAAAGAATCAATAACTGGGATCTCATCTTATTAAAAAGCTGTTGTACAGCAAAAAATCACCAGCAGAGTAAAGAGACAACCAACAGAATGGGCAAACTTTTTCTCAACTGTTCCTCAGACAATAGATTGATATTTAGAATATATAAAGAACTGAAAATAAATCAACCCCCACAAAATTTAAAGACCTAATACAAAAATAGCCATCTGAGATGAATACACACCTCTCAGATGAGGAACTAAAAATGGCAAATAAATATATGAAAAAATGTTCAACATCACTGCTCACTCAAGAGATCCAAATTAAAACAATGCTGAGATTCCATTTCACTCCAGAAAGAATTGTTATTGTCATCAAGGAATCAACCAGTAACAAATCCTTCTGGGGATGTGGGGAAAAGGGAACCCTACTCCACTGTTGGTGGGAGTGTAGACTGGTATAACTACTGTGGAAATCAGTGCAAAGATTCCTCAAAAAACGAGGGCTAGAGGTTCCATTGACCCAGCTATCCTCCTTCTGTGTATCTTTCTGAAAGAATTGAAAGCATGATACTACAGGGATAAATGCACACCCATCTTCTTGCAAACAACCCAAATGCTCATCAACTGATACGTGGATAAAGAAGATGTAGGTTTTTTTTTTTAACACAATGGAGTACTACTCAGCCATAAAGAAAGATCAATTTGAGACATTTATAGCTAATTGAATGTACCTAGAGACCATACTCTTAAGTGAAATAATCAGACACACATGTAACTATCTCATTGTTTCTCTGGTGTGAAAAACTGAAAGTGTAAATAAAGACAAAAATGTATAATAGATATTGTGAAATTGGAAGAAAATGTTCAAATGGAAAGAGGCAGAAGGGAGTGGGGAAAGGGAAAAAAGAAAGAGAAAGGGAAAACATAAGGAAACAAAGATAAAATGGAAACAACCCTCTTGCAAATAAGGGGAAGAGGTATAGAAGGGAGAAAAAGAGAATGGGAAAAATATGAATCAAGATATGTCATATACAGGTAGAAATTCTGTATGATGCAAATGATCACTGTGTATATATAAATTATACCAATAAAGTTAATTAATGATAAAAATATGTGATCAAAATTTGGTAAATGCTGCTATGTGCCATAGAACAGAAAGGCAGGCTTGTGAAACCTGTATGGGGTCTTCATCTACTTCACTCCCTGGATCTGTCACAGCTTGACTTCTGGCTCTTCTCCAGGGTTAAAAATAACCATGAAAGTAAACATTTTGCACTGATTCAAGAAATCGAGGTAGCCGAGAGAGCACAACTGAAGACAGAAGAAGAGACTTTAGGCTGAATCTTACTCCAAAACAAATGGTTTCCTTATAAAGTAAGGAGATTTGGACACAGCCATGAATTCAGGAGAATACAGTGGACCCTCAAGTTATGACCGGCCTGACATACAAACACCTTGGATTAATTAGGTTAATAGAAGATTTATCTGCCTCTTGCTACCTACAGTGTATACCCAGGTAAACATCCAGATCTCAGCTGTATTGACTTGAAACTAATCCTTCCTTGGGAACCGTTTAAATACGTAAGTTAAGGGGTCATTGTGCTGTCGTGAAGATAAAGGCAGAGACTAGCCAGTCAAGGAATATAAGCAATGGCAATTAAATCACTAGGCAGTAGAAAAGATCCGTGCAGCAGATTCCTCCTCACAGCCTTTGGAAGAAACCAACAGTACGGGGTAACACCTTGATCTTGGACTTCGACATTCTAGGTCCCTCGAACCATAAATTATTGTTATTTGAATAGTGGGTGGATTTTGACATAGCAACCAACCAAACTAACACAGGAGGTAAGACAAAAACTATTTCCTGCTATCCTGCTGCAAAGAAAATTAAAAAAAAAAAGGAAGAAAAGATGGGAAGAAAGAAGGAATGAAACAACAAAAAAAAGAAAAATATGCGATTGGCTCTCTGCCTTTATCCTTATGATGTTATCTGTTACCAATATATATTACTTCTAGCAAAATTCAATATTCTCATTATAATCAATATAATGGATGGTCCCATGTGGGAAAATAGATTAGTAACTGATAAAACTATGTGCCATCTACTTGACATACCCTTAAGGCTAAACAAAGTTAAACCTAATACAGAGAACCATGCCCACACTCACATGCCAAAAAGTAATCATATTCTTTTACAGTGTGAAACTGGGAGAACTAAAATTATTGACTCATATCCTCCAACTCTTGTCCAATTTGTGACACTAAGAAAGCGTGACTATTCATAGTACAGCTATCGTGGAATTCCTGACATCAGTTAGTCACTGTGACGCCTTCTCACACTACTTCAACAAACGTGTATTATCAGAAGGTAGAAGGACAAAAGACACGGGATATACTTTTTCTATATATAGTTCTCTCTAGGCAAGAAACCTCTGACGACTTTTACTTCTATGTTATGTCTGCATCAAATCTACTATTCTCAGAACTTGAACTCAAACTTAATTGGAT